GGGCATCCAGGCTCTGTCAGAGCACACAAATGGAATTCCTGCTGGTCCAGAAAGTAGGTGGAGGCAGAGGATGGCCAAACCTCAGTTCACCAACAGGGTGTGAGTATAAGAGTAACAAAGGGAAATATCACACCTTTCCAGTAGTCAGCCTTCAGTGTGGTTGCCTATTCTGTCTTTGGCAAATAGATTCGCTTCTTAGGTTGTTGGGATCAAAATGCCACTTGCAAATATTCAAAATGACTGCACTGTTGGGACAACTGGCACACCACATCTCTCTCTTCTCTTGTACTTGTCAGCCACCACTAATGCATAATCCATGCAGTTCTTAGCCAGTAGAGCCCATTCTTAGGTTCCTGCTATCTACCATTAGTAGATAGTAAAATTGATTGTGCCATAAAAACATCTTGCAGTCTGCAGCACTATTTGTCCCCTTATTCACTGTTTTACTTCAGGTTCTTTTATTAGTTGGTATTTAATCTCCTTAGGTATCCTTCCCTTCAAAGCTCAGGGTTCCAGGGTTATCTTCTGTGTCTGTTTCAATTGATTTCTCATTTCTGTGTTTCAGAGGGTCTATGTAGCTTTTCTGCCTATTCTGTCATCTTGCTAGATGTTGTCTTTTGCACATTTTTTAATTGGACTGTTTGTTTTTGTTGAAGTGTTCTGTATTTTAGACATTAGACTCTTTTCGGATATGTTGCTCCTGAAGTTTTTTTTCACAGTCTGTAGGTTTTCTTTTACTCTGTTAAAGTCTTTTGATGAGCATAAGTATTGAATTCTTTATGAGGTCCTAGTTATCTATTTTTTCTTCTGCTGCTCTTGTAGTTGTTTGATAATCTATCATTAAAAAAAACAAAAACAAAAACCAGGTCTCATAGGTTTTGCCTCTATATTTTCTTCCAAGAATTTAATGGTTTTAGCTATTAATTATCCTTAATCTATTTTGAGTTAGTTTTTGTGTTTGATGTGAGATGAGCCCTATTTAATTTTTCTACGTGGATATCCAGTTTTGTCAACATCATTTACTGAAGAGTCAGATTATATTTTTATTTAAAATTTTCTTTATTTGTGATTTTAAAAATGCTTGTAACAATCAACATAATAAGTAAAATAACTAAAGAAAAATACTCAATGTTATCTTACAGTTAAGTGATTAGGGTGAATTCATTTTAAAATGTTATACTATATAAATATTACTTGTTATATTTTGTTTATAGTTTTACTCTCATAGAGAAAGAATTCATTTTGTGAAATAAGGGTTCTAATGATAAACTTAAATTTCCAGGTCTGGTTTGTTGTTAGGTGTCATTGAGTCTGTTGCATCCCAAAGTAATCCTTTGTACAACAGAAGAAAACACTGCTCATTCCTGTGCTATCCTCACAGTTCGTTGTTGCAGCCAATGTGTTAATCCAACTCATTAATGGTCTTCCTCTTTGTCTCTGACCCTATACCCAGCATCACGTCCTTTTCCAGAGCCCAATCCTTCCCGACAATATGATCAAAGTACAAGAGATGAAGTCTCACCATCCTTGCTTTCAAGAAGCATTCATGCTGTACTTCTTCCAAGACAGATTTGTTTGTTCTTCTGGAAGTCCATGGCATATTCACTATTCTTCACCAACAACATAATTCACATGCATCATTTTTTCTGTGGTCTTCCTTATTCACTGTCCAGCTTTGTCATTCATTTGAGATGATAGAAAATACCATGGATTGGGTCAGGTACACCTTCGTCTTCAAAGTGACATCTTTGCTTCTTAACACTTTAAAGAGGTCCTTTGCAAGCAGATTTGTGAGTACAGTATGCACCTGTTTTCTTGACTATTACTTCTATGGGTGTTTGTTGTGGATCCAAGTAAAATGAAATGCTTGACAACTTCAGTCTTCTCTGTGCTTATCATGATATTTATTGGTCCAGTTGTGAGGATTTTTGTTTTCTTTATATTGAGGTATAATCCATACTGAAAGCTATAGTCAGTCTTTGATCTTTATCAGTAAGTGTACAAGTCCTTTTTGCTTTAAGCAAGCAAAATTCTGTCATCTGCATATTGCAGGTGGTTGATATGTCTTCCTCCAATCCTGATGCTGTGTTCCTCTTCATATATTCCAGCTTCTCAGATTATTTGCTCAGCATGCAGATTGAATAAGTATGGAGAAAGGATACAACCCTGATGCACACCTATCCTGATTTTAAAACCAGTATCCCCTTGTTTTGTTTGAACAACTGCCTCTTGGTCTGTGTACAGATTACTCCTGACCATAGTTACATGTTCTGGAATTCCTGTTATTTGCAATGTTATCCATAATTTGTTATGGTCCACACAATTGAATAGTCTTCAATAGTCTAATTGAATAGTCTTTGCATCGTCATTAAAACACAAGGAAGCATTTTTCTAGTATTGTCTGCTTTCAGCCAAGATCTATCTGACATCAGAAGTGATATCCCTCATTCTACATCCTCTTCTGAATCTGGCTTGAATTTCTGGCACTTCCCTACCTATATATTGCTGCAACTGGTTTTAAAATATTTTCAGCATAATTTTACTTGCATGTGATATTAATGATGTTCAATATTTCCTTATTCTATTGGATCACCTTTCTTTGGAAAGGGCACAAATATGGATCTCTTCTAGATGGTTGGTGAGGTAGCTGTCTTCCTAAGTTATTGGCATAGAACAAGTGAGTGCTTTCAGCATTTATCTGTTTGCTGTAACATCTCAGTTGGTATTTCATCAGTTCCTGGAGCCTTGTTTTTCGCCAATTCTGTCAGTGCAGCTTGGATGTCTCTTCCTTCAGTGCAGTCAGTTCTTGATCACATGCTACCTCCTGAGATGTTTGAACATCAGCCAATTGTTTTTGGTACAGAAATAATACAGTTTGTATTATTTCCATCTTCTTTTGATACTTTCTGTGTCATTCAATATTTTGCTATAGAATTCTTCAATATTGCAACTTGAGGCTTGAATTTTTTGTTCAGTTCTCTGAGTTTGAGTGATGCTCATTGTGTTCTTCCCATTTCCTTTGTTAACTCCAGGTCTTTGTACATTTTATTATACTTTACTTTTTCTTCTTGAGCCACCCTTTGAAATCTTCTGGTCAGCTCTTTTATTTCATTGTTTCTTCCATTTGCTTTAGCTACTCTTTGAAGAGCAAGTTTCAGAGTCTCTTCTAACATCCATTTTGATCTTCCTTTCCTGTCTTTGTAATCACCTTTTGCTTTCTTCATGTATGATGTTCTTGATGTCATCCCACAGCTGAGATATTTGATCGTTGGTGTTCAAAGCATCAGATGTATTCTTCCAATGGTCTCTAAATTCACATGGGATATAATCAAGGGTTGTACTTTAGACTTGTTTTAAATTTTCTTCAGTTTCAGCTTGAAATTGCATATGAGCAATTGATGGCCTTGTTCTGACTGATATTTTGCTTCTACACTATCTCTTTCCATATAGTTGATATGATACCTGTGTATTCCATCTGGCAAGGTTCATGTGTACAGACACCATTTATGTTGAAAAGAGGCATTTGCAGTAAGTCATTGGTCTTGCACAAATCTATTCTGTGATCGCTGGCATTGTTTCTATCACCGAGGCCTTATTTTCCGACTACTGATGCTTTTTTGTTTCCAGCTTTCACATTTCAATCACCAGTCATTGTCACCCAGTAATAATTATCAGTGCATCTTGATTGCATGGTAGATCAGTTTCAGACTGTACATGTTGATGAAACTCAAATTTCTTCATCTTTGACTTTAGTGGTTTTGTGTGAACTTGAATAATAGTCATATTAATTGATCTCCTTTGCATGCATGTGTATATTATACTATCACTGAAAACATTGTACTTCAGGATATATCCTGAAATGTTCTTTTTGATGATGAATGTGAGCCATTCCTGTTTATTTTGTTGTAGCCAGCATAGTAGGTCAGATAATTTTCTGATTTACAATGGCCAATACCAGTCCATTCCAGTTCACTAATGCCTAGAATATTGATCTTTTTATGTTGTATTTAATTTTTTTACAACTTTGAGTTTTCCTAGATTTGTACTGCATATATTGCATGTTCTGATTATGAATGGGTATTTTCAGCTCTTTCTTCTGAGTTGTGCCCCATCAGCATATAAAGGTCCATAAAACTTGACTTACACATCGTTAAGGTCAGCTCTACCTTTGAGGCAGCTCCTTCCCAAGTCATATTTTGAGTGCCTTGCAACTTGAAGAGCTCTTGTGATGGTAGTGTGTCAGATAATGTTCCACTGCTGTTTATAAGGTTTTCACTCTCCAGGTTTTCAGAAGCAGACCGTCACTTTATTTTCCCTTGTCTATCTTAGTCTGGAAACTCTGCTAAAATGTGTACACCATGGGTGACCCTGCTGGTACTTGTATTCGGGCCCCATGCAAGCCACTACAGTATGACAAACTGACAGACTAGTGGTGGAAGTCTGGTTTATCCATATGTAAAGGTTAAGCATATGAAGTTAATCTCTATCTATCTAAATGATTTAAAATTCCATTATCTAGAACCTGTTGTTGTTGTTGTTGTTTTGC